TTTTTTTTTTTTTTTTAAACAGAATCTCAGTTTGTCACCCTCCATAGAGTACCCTGGCATCACAGCTCACAGCAACCCCCAACTCTTGGGCTCAAGTGATTCTCTTGCCCCAGCCTCCCAAGTAGCTGGGACTATAGGTGCCCACCACAATGTCCAGCTATTTTTAGAGACAGGGTCATGCTCTTGCTCAGGGTATTCTCAACCTATGAGCTCAGAGCAATGCACCCACCTCAGTCTCCCAAGTGCTAGGATTATTAGCGTGAGCCACTATGCCTAGCTGCAACCACTAACTCTTGGGCTCAAGTGATCCTCTTACCTCAGTTTCTCTGTTTTTTTTTTTGAGACAGAGTCTCACTGTCACCTTTAGTAGAGTGCCATGGTGTCCAGCACACAGCTCATAGCAACCTCAAACTCTTGGGCTTAAGTGATTCTCTTGCCTCAGCCTCCCAAGTAGCTGGGATTACAGGCGCCTGCCACAACACCTAGTTGTTTTTTTTGTTTTTTTTTATTGTTGTTCTCGTAGTTGTCATTGTTGTTTGGCAGGCCTGGGCCATGTTCGAACCCACCAGCCCTGGTGTATATGGCTGGAGCCCTAGCTGCTGAGCTACAAGTGCTGAGCCTTGTTTTCTTTCTTCTCTCTCTTTTTTTTTTTTCTTGATCTGAGACAGGTCTTGAATTTTTTTTTTTTTTTTTTTTTTGAGGCTGATTCTCACTCTTATCACAGTAGGTAGAGTGCTGTGGCATCTCAGCTCACAGCAACCTCACACTCCTGGATTCAAGTGGTTCGCCTACCTCAGCCTCCCGAGTAGCTGGAACTACAGGTGCCCACCATAGCACCCGGATAGTTTTTCTATTTTTAGTAGAGATGGGGGTCTTGCTCTTGCACAGGCTGGTCTCAAACTCCTGAGCTCAGGTGATCCACCTGCCTTGGCCTCCCAGAGTGTTGGGATTATAGGTATTAGCCACTGTGCCCCACCCGGCTCCCATGTTTTAATAGCTGGTGTCTATAATTTAACCTCTGACCTATGCCTTAGACAAATACAGAGGCAGGCAAGCAGAGCTGAGGTGACAGAGACAGTCCCTTTCATTAAATCATCAACTTTGTAAACTCACCCCACCTGGTCCCCAATTGCAAATGTAAGAGCTTTTGTAGCCACTTGTGATTCTGGATTCTTAAAGGTTGTGAAAGGCTTTTCTCAAACGTAATCTTTTGACTTTGCTCTATGGCAGATGGATGTTTCTGGAATGGACGGAGACTAAGGGAGAAACAATAGTGGGAGGTCAGAGGCTAAATGTCAAAAGGACGTACAGGAAAGCTGAATTGCCCCAAAATGTCCACAATGCTAATAGAAGGGAATCAGCTTCTCCCCTCCCTGCTTAGCCTGAGTTTGGTTTCAAACCCAGCCCTCTCTACTTACTAGCTGTCTGACTTAGGAATTCTTTACCAGCTTTGCACTTAGTTTTCTCATTTGTAAAATGGGATGATAATAACAGCACTGAATGCTTGGCACAAAAAATCACCTATATAAGGGGCAATTACTACCATCCAGGGTGTGCCCACCCCTGAAGCAATGGTGTTTCTACTGAGAATTAGAGACCAAATGTTCTCAGGGCGGTGCCTGTGGCCCAGTGGGTAGGGCACCAGCTCCATATACACAGAGGGTGGCGGGTTCAAACCTGGCCCTGGCCAAACAGCAACAAAAAAATAGGCAGGTGTTGTGGCGGGCGCTTGTAGTCCCAGCTACTCAGGAGGCTGAGACAGGAGAATTGCCTAAGCCCAAGAGCTGGAGGTTGCTATGAGCTCTGATGCCACGCCACTCTACTGAGGGTGATAAAGTGAGACTCTCAAAAAACTCCAGAAACCAAATGTTCTCAACACCAGTGGTGAGTTTACTTTGCACACCAGTCCTCCAAAGCTGCTTGGTGGGCACCTCTGTGTACCACATGGCAGGTAGAGAGGTCATCCTCAAATACAGATCAGAGCATCTGGGAGTAGGTCTCCACCCTGGGGATTCTGAAAACATGCAGGCTGGGGGTGGGGTGGGGCCGCACATTTGCATTTCCACAAGCTCTCAGGTGTTTCCTGTGCTGCTGGTCCCTGTACCCTACACTGTGGAGAAGCGCCAAGTAGAGATGGGATGAGCATCAGATCAGTAGAGATGGGATGGGGTGTGCCAAGCATTGTATTAGGTACCACCTGTCCAGTTAGAAGTCAAAAGTCCTGACCTCATGTGTTTATGGAAGATGTATAATAGTTAATGGATGGAAATTGTTTTTTGTTTTTGTTTTTTTCTAGACAGAGTCTCAGTTTGTCGCCCTCAGTCGAGTGTTATGTTGTCATAGCTCATAGCAACCTCAAACTTGGGCTGAAGTGATTCTCTTGCCTCAGCCTCCCTAGTAGCTGAGACTACAGGCACTCACCACAATGCCCAGCTATTTTTTAGAGACAGGGTCTCACTCTTGCTCAGGCTGATCTAGAACTCCTGAGCTCAGGCAATCCACCCACCTGCCTTGGCCTCCTGGAGTGCTAGGATTACAGGCGTGAGCCACCTTGCCTGGTCTGAAGATTGGTTCTTATATTGACATAATGCAAGTTTAGGAAAAATAAATGATGGCCTCATTGAACTAAATATTTACAATACCCTATTTAGTGCAGCTGAAAAGGATTCCAGAAACCCACAAATGGCCTGGTCTGGTAAGGGCTGTGGGATGAGGGTAGAGGATAAAAGCAGGGGCTAGGCACAGTGGCTCTGTACTCCCAGCATGGTGGGAGGACTGCTTTGAGACCAGCCTGAGCAAGAGCAAGACCCTGTCTTCTACTAAAAGATAGAAAAATTAGCTGTGTGTGGTGGCTGTAGTTTGAGCTACTGAGGAGGCCAGTGCAGGAGAATCACCCAAGCCCAGGAGTTTGAGGTTGTAGTGAGCTGTGATGACGCCACTGCACCCTACCCAGGGCAACAGAGCAAGATCCTATTTCAGGAAAAAAAAAAAAGGCATGGACTCAGAAGCCAGGCTGGTCACAATCAAATCTGGGCTCTACAACCTCCTGGTAGTTTAACCTCAGTCACTTTGTGACTGTTTCCTCACATAAGATGGGCATAAATTTTGAGGGTAGGTGAGCTATAAAATGAGCGCCTAGAACCAGGACAGGTGCAACCTACTCGCTCAGAGTCACCTCATGTCACAGTGTGGCACAATGCTGACATCTAGTGGCCAGGTTTTAGGGCTACCTCACTACCAAGTAAAGTGTGTAATACCTCAGCCCTGGACCTTTCTCTGACTCTGAAGGGCCTGTGTCACCAGAATAATGTTCTTTAACCCTGAGAAGCAAGTGCTTTAACATGAGATAACATGCAAGGTGCAAAGGACAGCCACTGCCTTACTATTAATATTTCTTGAATCCCTATGCGGGGCAATAAACCTCACTACTTACCTGTGAGGTTGAGACTATTGTCCCTGCTTTGCAAAAGAGGGACCTGAGGTTAGAGATGTTCTGTGACTTGCTCAGGGTCACCAGGCTCCTGAGAAGGGAGGTGGGGTCTGGACCTACAGTCTGCTGTAGAGCCAGGACTGCTCATGGCCCAGCACCCGGCCTTCTTTCCTGCTGCAAGCCAGGAAGCTCCCAGATCACCTGCCTGCTTCCCACTGGAGACAGGGAGAGACACAACCTCAGTGCCCTCACTTAGGACTCAGCTAAGAGGGGGGCAGTTGTCTGGTACGGGTTTACAGTACTGATCAGGCTAGGGCACTATTCTTCAGGTGTAATTTTCTGAGCCCCAACATAACTGCCAGCCCGGCACATAGTAAATAGTCGTTAAATATTAATTCAAAGTTGAAAGAACAGCCAGGCACAGTGGCTCATGCCTGTAATCCTAGCACTCTGGGAGGCTGAGGCAGGTGGATTGCGTGAGCTCAGGAGTTAGAGACCAGCCTGAGCAAGAGCTAGACCCTGTCTCTAAAAAAAAACTAGCTGGGTATCCTGGCAGTTGCCTGTAGTCCCAGCTACTCAGGAGGCTGAGGCAGGACAATTGCTTGAGCCCAAGAGGTTGCTGTGAGCTATGAGGCCACAGCACTCTACCCAGAGTGACAGAGTGGACTCTGTTTCAATAAAAATAAAATAAATAATAAAAATGAAATAATAAAATAAAAAATAAATGCTTGCTTTAGATCTGCATCTTAGCAGCATCTCAGTGAGCAGAGTCAGTGCAGAGGCCTTAGTAAGAGGTTGAGTACGACTTCAGCAGCAGCAAAGCAAGTACCCCCCAATAGATTTTTTTTTTTTTTTGAAACAGAGTTTAAAGCTGTTGCCCTAGGTAGAATGCCATGGCGTCATAGCTCACAGCAACCTCCAACTCAGGCTCAAGTAATCCTCTTGCCTCAGTTTTTCTATTTATAGTAGAGACGGGGTCTTGCTTTTTGCTCAGGCTGGTCTCCAACTCATGAGCTCAAGCAATCCACCCACCTGGGCATCCCAGAGTGCTAGGATTACAGGTGTGAGCCGCTGCGCCTAGCCAGACTTTCCAATAGATTGAAGAGCAATTTGACTTTGGTAAATGTTTTCTTTTCTTTCTTTTTTTTTTT